TCTGGTTAATCAAAAATCTTACTAAAAACTTAAATTATCATAAGCTACATAGTATTAAGTTTCAGTCGGGTTAACCCCTTTGGTTGTCAAAACACGTTTACACAAGATGAACTGAATTAAAAAGGATGGTTGAAGTTACAAACAAAAAGCTTTTATGATTACCTACAATTATTGAGGTTAATCCATGACTGTTTTTTAACATTATCTTTTATCATTATCATCATCATCGAGAGAGAGACAGAGAGAGGGATTGATAAAGAGAAGGAGAGAGAGGGAGGGAGAAAGAGAGCGCGCCAAACGAACCATGTAATGATGAGCAGCACTGTTTACAATAGGATATCGCCCCCATCTGTTAGGCGCTGGCCGCCCATAAATAAAGTAGAACCCTTACAGCGGCCTATAATTGAATCACTTAACGGGTCGCTGCTAAACTAATTGTACAAATTGCACCACTTGGGGGGAGGGGTGGGAGATCATCCCCAGCTCGCGTTACTGCTGCTTGCCACCCGGTAAACTTTCCTCAGTATTTCTAACTTGAAGGGAGATCATTACCAGCTCGCGTTACTGCTGCTTGCCACCCGGTAAACTTTCCTCAGTATTTCTAACTTGAAGGGAGATCATTACCAGCTCGCGTTACTGCTGCTTGCCACCCGGTAAACTTTCCTCAGTATTTCTAACTTGAAGGGAGATCATCCCCAGCTCGTGTTACTGCTGCTTGCCACCCGGTAAACTTTCCTCAGTATTTCTAACTTGAAGGGAGATCATCCCCAGCTCGTGTTACTGCTGCTTGCCACCCGGTAAACTTTCCTCAGTATTTCTAACTTGAAGGGAGATCATTACCAGCTCGCGTTACTGCTGCTTGCCACCCGGTAAACTTTCCTCAGTCTAACTAGAAGGGAGATCATCCCCAGCTCACGTTACTGCTGCTTGCCACCCGGTAAACTTTCCTCAGTCTAACTAGAAGGGAGATCATCCCCAGCTCACGTTACTGCTGCTTGCCACCCGGCAAACTTTCCTCAGTATTTCTAGCTTGGAGGGAGATCATCCCCAGCTCACGTTACTGCTGCTTGCCACCCGGTAAACTTTCCTCAGTATTTTTAGCTTGGAGGGAGATCATCCCCAGCTCACGTTACTGCTGCTTGCCACCCGGTAAACTTTCCTCAGTATTTTTAGCTTGAAGGGAGATCATCCCCAGCTCACGTTACTGCTGCTTGCCACCCGGTAAACTTTCCTCAGTATTTCTAACTTGAAGGGAGATCATCCCCAGCTCGTGTTACTGCTGCTTGCCACCCGGTAAACTTTCCTCAGTATTTCTAACTTGAAGGGAGATCATTACCAGCTCGCGTTACTGCTGCTTGCCACCCGGTAAACTTTCCTCAGTCTAACTAGAAGGGAGATCATCCCCAGCTCACGTTACTGCTGCTTGCCACCCGGTAAACTTTCCTCAGTCTAACTAGAAGGGAGATCATCCCCAGCTCACGTTACTGCTGCTTGCCACCCGGTAAACTTTCCTCAGTATTTCTAGCTTGGAGGGAGATCATCCCCAGCTCACGTTACTGCTGCTTGCCACCCGGTAAACTTTCCTCAGTATTTTTAGCTTGGAGGGAGATCATCCCCAGCTCACGTTACTGCTGCTTGCCACCCGGTAAACTTTCCTCAGTATTTTTAGCTTGAAGGGAGATCATCCCCAGCTCACGTTACTGCTGCTTGCCACCCGGTAAACTTTCCTCAGTCTAACTTGAAGGGAGATCATCCCCAGCTCGCGTTACTGCTGCTTGCCACCCGGCAAACTTTCCTCAGTATTTCTAGCTTGGAGGGAGATCATCCCCAGCTCACGTTACTGCTGCTAGCCACCCGGTAAACTTTCCTCAGTATTTCTAGCTTGAAGGGAGATCATCCCCAGCTCACGTTACTGCTGCTAGCCACCCGGTAAACTTTCCTCAGTATTTCTAGCTTGAAGGGAGATCATCCCCGGCTCACGTTACTGCTGCTAGCCACCCGGTAAACTTTCCTCAGTATTTCTAGCTTGAAGGGAGATCATCCCCAGCTGACGTTACTGCTGCTTGCCACCCGGTAAACTTTCCTCAGTCTAACTAGAAGGGAGATCATCCCCAGCTCGCGTTACTGCTGCTTGCCACCCGGTAAACTTTCCTCAGTCTAACTAGAAGGGAGATCATCCCCAGCTCGCGTTACTGCTGCTTGCCACCCGGTAAACTTTCCTCAGTATTTCTAGCTTGGAGGGAGATCATCCCCAGCTCGCGTTACTGCTGCTAGCCACCCGGTAAACTTTCCTCAGTATTTCTAGCTTGGAGGGAGATCATCCCCAGCTCGCGTTACTGCTGCTAGCCACCCGGTAAACTTTCCTCAGTATTTCTAGCTTGGAGGGAGATCATCCCCAGCTCGCGTTACTGCTGCTAGCCACCCGGCAAACTTTCCTCAGTATTTCTAGCTTGGAGGGAGATCATCCCCAGCTCGCGTTACTGCTGCTAGCCACCCGGTAAACTTTCCTCAGTATTTCTAGCTTGGAGGGAGATCATCCCCAGCTCGCGTTACTGCTGCTTGCCACCCGGTAAACTTTCCTCAGTATTTCTAGCTTGGAGGGAGATCATCCCCAGCTCGCGTTACTGCTGCTTGCCACCCGGTAAACTTTCCTCAGTATTTCTAGCTTGGAGGGAGATCATTACCAGCTCACGTTACTGCTGCTTGCCACCCGGTAAACTTTCCTCAGTATTTCTAGCTTGGAGGGAGATCATTACCAGCTCACGTTACTGCTGCTTGCCACCCGGTAAACTTTCCTCGGTAATTTAAACTTGGAATATCATCCCCAGCTCACCACGTTACTACTCCTTGGCACCCGCTAAACTTTCCTCAGTCTAACTTGGAGGGAGATCATCCCCTCCTCAACTCGTGTTAGTGCTAATTTTAGTCCTAACAATTTACAGTCTCTAGCACCTCCGCCATCTTTTACAATAACATGAAAACCTAATGAATGAATAACACATCTGAAAATCCTGATAAAATCATGTCCTTCCATGGTTTAGTATATTTTTACAGTGCCTTTTGGAGGATATGATAGGATAAAACTAGATGATTTGCGGATTTTGAATGTGTGCAGAAATAACTCAAAATAATGTTACGCATAATTTCAAAACGAATCTGGGTGGGCGTCAATATATTGCTAAGTGAAAGTGTGATTAACTGCTCCCATGAAAAATTACTAGCCTAAAGTAATTGCCAAATCGTATATTCCTATAAAAAAACATGGGGACGGCGATATCTCTAGAATCTGCTATCAAAAAAAGATAAATTATTAAAGGAAACAATATACTCTTCATAGTTTAGAATAATAAACTTTCAACAGTCTTATCACCTCTTTCAACATCTGTGCCACACAGGAGTCTATGTTAATACGTGTACCGAAAACAAACGCTTTTGAATTAATTTGTGGAAACCAAACGGCCTATTTAAGAAAAAATATAAATATCACGAATAAAACTGGGCTGGTGAGAAGAGAAAACCGCAACTGTTTGCACATTTTACCAAATCAGGTCATATAATTCTACAATCCATTATATTAATAATTATTCAAATAACTAATGTAGACTGCAGCTTGTCAAAAGGATGTAGCACAAGACCTTCCTGAAGGCAAGGGTTCAAGTCCTGCCAATGACCAATAAATTCTAGCTATCTGATAATGCCAAGATTTCGTGATTTTTTGAAGGTCCTATCATGTAAAAAGATACGACTTCAATGCGGCAAAAATTTTCCTTGTATTGGAGGAGATCCTCTAAAATCCGTGTGATGATTATCAATGCATTAAACAGTCAGCCTATAACAATAACTCAATCACCGTATCAATGTTGAGGTTTAAAGGTTTTTAATTATTCATAGTGATTTTCTGCTTTGTGGCGGACCCACCCTTCAGTCACAGTCCAGAGTCCAGCTGACAAGATAACGACCCTAGTTATATATGTGTTTGTGTGGGTGAGGGGAGGGCCCAAGTACCCCCCGCCAACAACGCTTTTTGAGGTGCCATTTAGTTTAATAAACACAGCTTAGGGTGCCAGCTATAACTGTCAGAATTAAACTGCTTTGATACAATGACTATCTTTTGATCTGTGAGCTTGATTTACCGCTGTAGGGAGGCGTCATCTGCCCTGTTCTCCCCTAGGGTTAGTGTCTGGTGTTAATTGGCGATTAGTCGGACACTCAGTGTGGTAGTGTATTTTACTAGGGTGCTAAACTGGTACCAATTTTCGTGCAGGGTTGGTCATTTGCTGAGTTACTCTTTACGAAATAAAACTAAAAGTTCAGATGTCGTAGAGACCGAAAAGAGTGGAAAATCAACTTTAAATGTTTTCATATAATCCTGCGAAATATTTCAATTTTGAATAACCTAAGTACTGGTAACCATCTATGTGATTCAACACCACATAAATGTAGGAGAACACGTAAACTAAACATGCACACATGTAGATATTACTTTTAAAAAATCCTCGAGATTTATATAACTGCCTGTCAACTTAAGCTGCTCTAAAACTCGCAGACGACATTACCAATTCGATACCGGTTACCGAACTGGTAATGTCAACCTAAGTATTTGCCACTGAGGTATCTTCAATGCTTAACAGCTTTTAAACTGCAACGCTCTTTAATTTCTTTTCCTGTCTTGCCCTTCGAGGTAAAATTTAAATGACTTGCAAAACTCCAAATCACCTAGACTCCTTTCGGTCGGCCGTATTGTAGTGTATATATACATGGAAATTTTTTCAATCATGAGCCAAAACAACTTCAGTTTGGACTTTTCGACCGTCTTGCAAAGCCAGAAATCGCCTCTTCAGAAAGTTGATCAGTCACAAAAAAATGAAAGTTGAAAGTTGATGATAAATGGACTATTAAGCTGTTTCATCGAAACGTCCTTTTTTAAAATACTAATAATAAACACAGAAAATATTTTTTCTAGGTATATTTTTAAATAACAATGTTTTGTTTATTTCCAGGTGCCCACCACGCCCTTATGGGTAAAACAAGAAGGCCTCGCACTGCCTTCACAAGCCAACAGCTTTTAGAACTGGAAAAACAGTTCCGACAAAACAAATACCTCTCTCGACCGAAGCGCTTCGAAGTTGCTACCAGCCTAATGCTCACCGAAACACAGGTTTGAACTGAAACTGAAACACAGTACTCTGTAATGATTGCCCTCTCTCAATTACTCACTGAGACTCATTTCCTTCTGTGCATGATATGCAACATTGCTGTTTGTGTCTTTCAAAAATTACCAGGTTCACAAAACCTCCATCTTCATGATATATTTCGATCTCTTGATGAAATGTTTGATCATTAGATGATTATTTGACTAACTAACAATATTTCTTATCGCCCTTGTCACATGGCTCTCATCTTTCTCTAATTTAAATATTTCAAACCCAGTTGACACCTCAGTTGCACCGGACGATCGGTTATACGTCACTCAAGTGAAGTGCTAACATATGTCACCGCTATCTTATCTCTAATTGCTTCGTCAGTAATGTAGCCCCAATATGGTAGCATCACATATGCGTTAAACACTGATAGCTTTCCCGCTCCCTTTCTGTATCTTCTACACTTGACTTCTTATCCGTTTAGTCAACACTTTGGTTACTTCTCTGGTTTTGTTTACTCTAGATCCATTAGTGGTAATTGGTATGGTTTAAAATATAGATAACAGTTTGTAGCAATTCGTCTATCAACTGCTGTAAGAGGAAATAAAATAGGTTTGCTACAACGCAAGAGCGTAACCTTAAAATGTATTCTATATTCATAGAAAGGTGTGCACTAACTTCAAACAAAGTTTGATGTAGTATTTGTTTGTTTTGTATTGAGATATTCATGCAAGTTCGTGATGAAATACCTGAAACTAAGCCATTGGCCTAGACCATTTGCTATAATTTATGGCTTTGACTTCAATTTTTCCTCATCAGTTGGTGAGCTCGATGATGCCAATGTCGCCAATGTTCCTATCCGTTGCATTTTGGCATTTCAACAATGAATCAACGTTTTCATTTCAGTTCGAGCAGAATTTAGACTTGTCTGTCCTAGTCTCACCTCTTGAGTAACACCATGTTCAATTTCACACACTTCATTTCTATACTAGAAACGCAGAGGATTAATTTATTTTAGTAGTGTAAAGTAATTTTTTAATAATGATTTTTTGTTGTTGAATGAAATCTGAAACATGATCTTCGATTTTATAGCCACCCAGTATGTTGTACATAATTATTTTCTCCCAAATGTACTCAACATAGTGCCATTTAGATCGGTCTCTATTCACAAATTTGTAAAGGTAAATTGCTAATAGATGTAATGTATATTGCTGCTAATGTATATGTGCTTGAACGACTGGTGGTCTAAAGATTTTGACGATATCTTGAAAATTATTTGACCTAATCACATGAGTTCATTCGAATCAAATTTGTTTTGCAGGTGAAAATATGGTTTCAAAACAGGAGAATGAAGTGGAAGAGAAGCAAAAAGGCTCAACAGGAAGCGAAATCTTCTAAAGAAGATGGTGAAAAGAAGAGTGGAAGTACCTCGAGCAGTGGATCGAACTGCAGCCCAACCAAATGCGGCCACACGCTGACCCCGAGCCCTAGAGGGAAGCCAGAGAACGTCCGGACCTCTGGAGGAACTCTTCATCAGATCGTCCAACTGGCGCAGATGGCTAGGACGAGGGAAACTGGAGAATCCTTGTACAGACCCTATGTCTCCTAGACCTTGTAGATTACACCTCCCCCAAGTGATAAATGAGTGGATTAACTTGATCAGTTGGCTATTGCCAACCGTAAATACGAGTGTCAAAACGTGTACATATAGTTGGCTATCCTGTACAGAATGAGTAGTGAACCTTGTTCAATTGGCTAACCCCAAAACACAGCCTTGATGAATGAGTGGCATAACTACAGCTAGCTGTGATGAACATAGCAACAATTATACAGTTGGCTATAACCACCCATAAAAACCCGTACAAAACGTGTGCATACAGTTGGCTATCCTGTAAAGAATGAGTGACCAGCCTTGTTCAATTGGCTATGGCCACCCTTGATGAACGAGTGGCAAAACTATAGCCAACTGTGATGAACGTGTAGCAAAGTTGGCTATAGCCACCCGTGAAAAATTAGTGACTAAACGTGTAAATATATCTGGCTAACGTGCAAATAATGAGTGACAATTCTTGTTCAACTGGCTATAGCCACTCTTGATGAACGCTTGATGAAAACTATTGCCAGCTGTGATGAACATAGCAAAACTTGTACAGTTGGCTATAACCAAAGACTGTATTCGTCGGTAAAGATCAGCTGTAACAGTTTTATTTATTTATTTTTTATTTGAAATCCCGAAGTCTTCAAATGAGTGCTATTATTACTTTTGATTACTACTCGTACATTTTAGGGTAGTTAAGCCTTTAAACCTCTGACACTACCAATAAATATTACTAAAAAGTCTTAAGTCCATTCCTAAATTAGACGTCAAAACTTTCTTTTATTGTTGGACATAAAAGTATCTGACAGGCACAGAAACAAATATCACAATCGGATATCTACTTTTAATATCAGTGGTATGACAAAAGTGCAAGACCAAATCTTATAAACGTACTACAAAAAGAGAAAGCGACAGAAAAAACGTACACACGTTTCTTATTGTATTTAAAACCATAATGGGAAATTTGGGAAAGTATAAAACCAACCTTATGTGACATTTTACATGTCATGAATCTTGACAAAGTGATGACGTCATGCAAAGTAAAATAAAATTCTTAGTAGGGATGATGTTTTTTTTTCTGAACTTAAGATAAATGTTATTAAATCTTTATTTGTTTATGTTGTATATTTTCTACATTTTCAGTGAATTCTTATACTGAAATGGGATAAAAAATATCTTGAGGATTTTTCTTCCATGAAGAAAATCGAGTTCGTCCACGTGAATCTCGCGTTCCGAAGTTCAAGTGCTTCTATTTGGCACACTTGGCTTTATTACCTTTATTGAATGCTTAATTTTGAACTTAAACAGTATTTTCAGTTATTCCGAGTAAAAGGACACTTTAAACTATTCCCATTGCGAGAATCGTAAGTTTTAATTTACATGACAAGTTTAGTGATATATCCAAAGGTACATATGAAGTCTCAAACTGCTCTTAGCAATATGGGATTTTTATGTAAAAGACCCCTCAGAGTATTAAACCCCAAAATCTGTAGAGATACAAATAACTAGAAGATCACGAAAATGAAAGTCATGCAAAATCTCCTCAACTATACATTTTGTGTAATATACATGTTTGTAAATATTCACCTACTGACTTTTACATTTTAGGAGTAATTAAATTGACAAACTCCCGAAGAAAGGAAGGTACATGTAAATATTTAGTAATCGTACATAATTCGTATAATCATAAGCAAGTTCTGTCTAGCTGTTAATTTATTGTAGAAATTAAATTTAGGTTGAATACTGTCTTTGTAATTGTTTTAGACTTTTAGAACGTGTCGTTGTTAAAGAAAAAGAGGATTGTTTGCGAAATTTTTCACCAATTTGAGATGTGTTTTAACGCCATCTTGCTTTACACCAATCATTTTCTGTAGTTATTAAAACTAATGTATACTTCCGGAATTATTTCGCGAAATATGTTGCTCAAAGAATTTTTCAAACAAGGATAAAGTTTAAACACACACCCCTGACTAAGATATTGTATAAACATTTCATAAACGTTTTAAATTTGATTTTTACCAGAATTTAATGTTTGCCTGAAGTAGTATGTCCGCACAAGATTTCATTGAGATGTAAAACGGTTTGTGTGAATAAACTTTTATAAACAAGCGAATGTTTTTATAAATTGTTTTGAGTTGTTAAGTAGCGTATCACACTTAAAATAAGAAGTCAATAATTACAAATAAGTCAAGAATTATTTTTAAGATCAGTGAAACATAAGGGTAGCTTATAAAGTTTCGTAGTCATAGTTTATCACTAAAATGATTTGTTACCACCTAGTATATTGTGATTGTTTGTAATAGAGCGACTATTTGTGTAAATAAGAGCGACAGAATTCCATGCCAGCTACAATTACGATTGTTAATAAAACCATTGACTAAATAGTTGTGTTTTGATTTTACAAGCCGATTGTTCTACAATTTACAAAATTAAATGGACGATATTAAACGATTGTTTGGTAAAACGCAAAAATTGACGCATTTAAACTGGATATTGTTTTGCTGGTTTTCACTTTTGACCATCCTGAACTAGGTTTAAAAAATACCTCCACCGCAGCAAACCTGCAGACCAAGCGAATTTCCATTTGCCTGATTTTACTTTCAATTAAATCTATTTCAATAACATTAGGTTTAACGAGTACCTGGTTTGCTGCTACAGGCAGGGTAATAAAGAGGGTTTTTAGTCAAACATTAATAGCTTAGTTTAAAAAAAAACTACAACAGTTTACTTATTGTACATAAGAATAACATGGGGATTTTTAATTACAAATTTTTGCATTTTATCCGTAACCAATAACCAACCTCTAACTATACAAAAACAATACAATATACTAAATTGATTTTTTAAGCTCTTCAAAATGGTCTATTTTGGGAAATTTTATGTTTTGAGTGTGAAAAACAAGAAAACCCTATTTTACCCCATAAATCCTCCCACAAAACGCCGTCTCCATAGTCCGATCTGCTGGTTAGCGAACTCGAATAAACGTACGTTTACACGTTTGTACACAATTTCAAAAATAAATGTAGGTTTACAATGCATACTCTTTGAGCTTGCGAAAACACATTTTGAGTCTTATTCACAATAAATTCCTTTTAACACTAAACCACATAGGAAACAATGTAACAATGCATATCAGCTGATCGTCATATAAGTGAAGCATTCAGTTCTACCAACTTATGAGCTTCTTTTGTCCTTAAACAGTGTTTCTTAGTAATTGTAATTTTAGCTACGTTATAAAACAAACACCCTGTATATATGAATATATGGCACTCGACAAGACATGCGTCTTTATAATGTACAGGTAATTCTATACAACCAGGTAATGATTTCGTCTGTTATGGAAACATTTACAATTGGTTCTAACTATTGGATTATTGTTGATCACACTAGCTGATCGACACAAAGTAAATATGAGGACCTTCATTCTTTCTACGTTTAATTATCCAAGGGATTAGATTATGTCTTTTTGGCATTTTGTATCTAACCGTACACTATTGAGGAGGAATAAATAGTACATTTCGTACTTGAGGTCTTAAGTTTAAGCACCTAGATGAAGGGTTTTCTATGGTAGGGTCTTACCTGCTCTAAACATCACCATTAAATAAAACAACTCACACAAATTTCTTACATTGTTTGCATTAGGCTTACAAAATGTTTTGATTAATTTGCAATTATATCTGCATTATATGTGCAAATAACTTCTCAACCAGCATAGCAAGTGTTAATGGACAGATTTTACTTTATTAGGCACAATGCAACTACTTTTTTTAGGCATAAGTCAACAAAATACAAAATTCATATCTGAATATCTTTAGGTAATATTTTTATAGGCCTAAATACCGATAGATGGGTATATTTGTAAAGTAATCTATCATTATAACCACAAACTAATCTCTATGTCGATACGATCATACATTCGTAATCAAAACTATTTTCTTCCGCAAAACCAGTGCAAGGATTTTACAGCTATAAAATTTGCAATTGATGACCTCTTCTCTATCTGATCCTTTTTCTCCCTAAGAAAAATACATTCTTGGGCCCCACAACACATTTTAAACCGCAGAGTTTGCTGCAGTATGACGAAAAGTATGTATTTGCAGACTCCTCAAAACAAAAAAAAATCTCTTAGTTTTATCTTAAGGACTAATTTCTTACTAAAACTACAATGAGAAACAAAGTTGATTGAGAGAGGATCAATAATCCTAATGAAGCTTTCTTAAGAATGGCTACCATGGCATTAGTGACTGAAACATTGTACACTCATATTCATATAGGATACCATATAATTACCTTAAATTATAGGATTCTAGGTAATTGGGAAATAAGATTTAGCAAAGGAAAAAATTAGGATTTGTAATGTTAGGGATTTGAAAACAAAAACCATTAAAGCCTAGTACCTCTGTGAACTACTTCATCAGTCTATCTGCAAGGAAATTGTATAGTATTGTATTTCATTTTAATTTTCTTATAAAATAGAAAAACAACGACTACAACGTCCTTGTAGTCGCTCCTCCATACTGTATAAACTGTAAATTCTTGTTTCAATATTGATATAATGGCTGATATGGCTTGCTTCAACATTTTTCGAGTCGAGTATTTTATAGTGACGTGACATTTGTGATGAAGCTTCAAAATACCAAATCAAATAAACTTTATTTGTGAACAGAAATATCTGACAATAGCGCTAACCTTAACCTAAAAGTCAAAAACTTATTCCGTAAAATAAAAAATATGCTAATACTATACAATTTTAATTATACAATGATCCACAATCTTTATTTTAATATTTTTATTTACAGTTTTTTTTTTCAAAAAAAATCCGTGACATTTTAATATGCTTTTACCAGCAAAATTCCTTTTATTGACCCCCAACAGTATCTGTTCAAGCTTGGCGAATTTTAGAGTTTGACTCCGTCGTACTATTGACTATACACAGAATAGACTTCCCATGTAATATTAAAATTTGAAGCCAAGAAAATAGATGAAGTTCAGGACCATCTCACCAGAGGGTACTAGTGTATTGGGTTAAATATTAATTAAAATCAATGAAGTATTGTACAATCTGCAATGAAGTATTTTTTGCAAACAGCTGATTGATTAATCACTTGATGACTTGATTGGTTGGTAGACCATCTCAACATATTGCTCCACTTTGAATGCTTCAAATTTTAACATTACATGGGAAGTCTATTCTGTGTTTAGTCAAATTATTAAATATAAATTAATACAAAATATATGACACAACTCTAGATACATGCTTATTTCTTAATAATAAAAGGTAAACATTGAATTATTAACAATATGAAATTATTCCAGTCATATGATCAATATTAAAATAAAAGATAGATTTTTGGGAATATTTAACAATTCCTCCCCACTTATTTAAGAGAATGTTCATTTTAAGTTCATCCTTTTAATTGGTTTTCAGATTCTCTTTGAACGGCGAAATTTAGGGACATCTGATTGTGAGTTTGCATTGGACAATAGTTGTACCCAAACTGTTTTTCAAAGAAACTGGTCTTGTTTTTAAGGGGTTGGATGGAGTTTAAACTATCAAAAGAAATCTTCCCGAAATCACAGATAATACCAATAGTGTCTATTTCTAG